TAGTTCACTTCTGTGGTCTCTTTTCCCTTATCATTTCTTAATTTCTGCTGAACTTGGGCATTTGTGTTTTCTGGATTTGCACGCACACAGAGTGAGACCAAGAGGTCAAAATTACTTCAAATAAACAGAGATAGAGGAAAGACTTAACCATTCTGAGCTAGAATTATGCTCATAGTTCTCGCCCACAAGACCATTCATTATAACAGTGACGATCATTCTTCTGGGCCAGAGAGCTAAGCTGCCACCTCGGATCTTACGTGGTCAGTCCTATTACAGTGAGACAAGTATATGATGCATTGAGTTTTCCTTCAATTCACAGGCAAAAGTTGTAAGATTAATATTTCTTCCATGTCCTACTCAAAAGAATCTGTTTGGATTCTACTCATAAATGCCCAAAGCTTTGCAGAGAGGCTGAAAATAACAGAAATGACTAGAAACTATCCGTCCTGTGCCGAAACATGGCACTTTCCATTTTTACAGGGGAGAGAATGGATTGCTCAGGATTCTCCATTTAAACCATCAGCTTCCTTCAGTCCTGTATGATTTGTGTCTGAAGCCTGAAATGTAACAGCAGGTCTGAACTTTATGGATTTGCATGGATAGCTAGGGTACCCTTTTGAAGAGGTAAGATATTCCTTTGGATTTGGCCCTAAGACATCTTTACGGGAGGAACACTGCCCTTTGATACAGGTAAGGTCTCCTTTGAAAGAGTTAAAGAACCTTTTGGGAAAGCTATGGAAATTTGGAACAGATGCAGTACGCTTAACACGCTTAATCATAAAAAGTGCATAAACACTGTGGGACTGTCATGTTGTCAAGGAACTGTTAAAGCAACCAGAAAAACTGTCAAAGCTGTCATGTAGCTGTCAAAACTGTCATGTTGACCTGTCAAGATTGTTAAATCATTTAAAACACCAAGTTTTTTGATCTTTGAAAAAAAATCTGAAGAGTTTTCCTTCTATTTCAATCTGTTTGTTTGATTAGCATTATGAATATTTTCTAATCAACCTGCTCAGTAATGTTATGACACACCTGCAGAGCAAGTGGGACTTAAACTCAGGCCTTCTCCTGCCACAGCATCACAATAGCCGAGATTAGCTTTATATAACTGTTCTCACAGAATCTGTTATCACATTAGTGCTTTCCACTTCACAGTTTGACTGACAGCTACGAGTGGCTACGGACTATATGATGTGGGACTATGAATTCCAAAGCTTGTGGCACTTAAGTTGATTTGATTCCATTTGATTTATTACTATCACATGTACTGGGGTACAGTGAAAAGTGTTGCCTTATGTGCTTTACAGCAGATCATACGAAACAAGTACATCAGGGTAACAGAGTGGAGTGCAGGATACAAGAAGGAAAACCTTATTTTTATAAGGCTTTATTGAGATTAAGGACTTTAAATGTAATATACATGTTTTATAATGAGTGTTTCTCTTAATATAGTGAAGTCTTTAATTAATTTAACTTATTCAGCAGAACTTTATTATTCTCATCTGCGGGTATGGTGGTCTGTCCCTTGTGGATAATAGTGGTTTGGAATTGTAGATCAAAGGACAATGAATGATGGGTAGGGGTACAGTTTGACTGAGCTGGCAATAAGTTGGTGGAGGGATTACAAACAGCCAGACAGTAATTACAAAGGCGTCGGTTAGAATAGAGGCTCTGAGGATCCATGAGAGTGGACGCAGTAGCTAAATTTGGCACGGCAGTTATAAGGGGTTTAATGGGATACAAATTCAGGGAATTAAGTAGCATAGGTTGGCTTGATAGGGGCTGTGTGTGTGTAAGGTTGGGGGAGGGCTGAATGGATTTTTGTTTATGGTACAAGGCCTACCCAGAACAAAAGAGATATACTCATCGGTGGAATGCGCAGTGAATGTAGACAGCACCTGGAAATGCAGGTGATCCCAGGATATGGCAGGCTTTTTATTAATAGATTTTCATTTGGTCACAGTATCAAAGAACTGTCAAATACATTTTATGAGCAGATAAGTAAGCACCTCTTGAATTATGTACAGAATAACTGGCATTAACTGTTCCTCTGCAGTGACTAATCATTGGGGTCTCATTGTTACAAAATTGTCTGTAGGATTAAGTGTGAAACTAATGTGTGCTACTCATCAAAAGGTCAGACAACTTCAAAAGCTGAGTATTCAGTACGAAACTAAGTCTTCACCTCAACTATTACTGAATAACCTGATTGTCTTAACCTACTTTAGAATTGAAGTTGTAAGCAAACACGGTTCTCACTTTTGATGTACTACATTCAGGACGCACTCTGAGTCAAAAGTAGTCTTTTAATTTCCCAGATCTTTGACTTTACAGTTGTACAGTAAATTTCTGGTTTAGAACCCATTCTGCTCGTCTAAACACTTCTGGAATACTTTGCATGATTAACACTTCCAGACCTGTTACTGTCATTCTTGCGACAATAGGAATGGGTAATGTTGGTATTCTAATACATAAGTCAGTGGCAGTTCCCTCACCTCCAAATCACAGCTACTGAAAAAAATGGGCCTTTTGGATTAGATGTGAAAAGGTGAACTCAGAGTTTAAAAGGGTAAGAGTGAAAGATCCCATTGCACTGTTTTGAAGAAGAGCAGGATATTCTTCTCTATATTCTGACTAATATTTATCAATGAAAAACAGTAAAACAAATGTCTGGTTAGTGTAACACTGCAAACCCTCTGTACAAAATTAATCTTGTTTGTCCTACATTACAACAATGACCCTACTTCCAAAATACTGAACAGCTGTAAATGACTGAGTCTACCGGAGATCATAAAGGGCATTATATAAATGGAATTGGATCAACCCCAGTGGACTCCAATCTACATTCAGGCCATCCCAATTTGGCCCTGACCGCAACAACCTCTACATAAACAACATCCAGATCCTCCAAAAACGGTTTTCTCTGCGGCTCCTCAAGCACACACTCTCAGCAATGTACTAGTATCTTCTGGCCCTACAATCAAGCCTACTGCAGCTTAGAGCCTCCCTCTCCCAGACCTGCAAAGGACCTCTTCTGTATTTCATTCTTCGCAGGATCCACAACCTCAACCAATGATTTTACTCTGCCCTAAAAAAAAGTCCCATTTCTAAAGAAGGGTCCTGACCCAAAACGTCAACTTTCTTGTTCCTCTGATGCTGCCTGGCCTGCTGTATTCCTCCAGCTCCACACTATGTTACCTCTGACTCCAGCATCAGCAGTTCTTACTATCCCTGTGTGAGTTATATAAATGCAACTTGTTTTTCTGGGTTGCGTGCGGGTTGTCAAATTTCCATTTTGACTTGATACACATTCACTCTGGTGCAGCATGCAGTATCAATAAGACCTGATAAGGTATGAGTGATCTTGCTCTTTTCTTTTTCAATGAGAAAGTATGTGACGAGAATATGTAATGCATCCCATCGTCTGACAGATCACAATATCTCTATCACACACTAACTACATTCATCAAATCTCCTGAGGACTACATAATCAAGCGGTGCTCGAAAATACCAAAATTACACTTGGTATTAAAAAAATTATTCATCCAAAAAAGTCTAACTCACATGAAATCTGCACTATGCTGAATGTAAAATAAAATCAATGAGATTTCTATGAACCACAATCAGAAGCAAGATCTAATTATCAATTTACAAAGAGTTCCTCTGCTGAGTAGTAACCCATTTATTAAAAATTGTAATACAGTTGGAAATATATTGTTATGCACAGAATTTAAAGAACAAAAATGAGCAAGAGAAGATACAGCACTTACAGAATTTTTAACATGTCAAAACCTATTTTATTTTTGACTGTCTGACTAGAAAAGATAAGCTTCAAATTAGCCACAGAAATACAAGATCTGCCCAAGATCAAACATGCAGCAAATTATCAGCTTCTATTGATTCCATCTATCCACAAAATCTGCTTTACGGTTGATAAGGCATTTGCATATGAGTCATAAATTTACAGTATATATACTGCAAAATATTTAAGATCATGTTCAAAATGATACAATGGCAATACTTTAAGCTATTGAACCACACTGACAAACTTTGTGGAAAACAAGAAATGATTTTGCATAACTGTTGCACATTTTCAATTAGTAACTCATTTTTAATTATGTTGAATATATAGTCTACCTATTTGTTGATTTGAGTCTAGTTTCAGGCAGACTTTAAAATGAATGGACAACACTCCTGCCAAAAAAAAACTGACTGGGAGTACTTTAAATATTCAAATTAGAGTCTTCACTCTGATTTAGGACCCCAATTTCAACATACAAGAAGAAATGGATGAAGCATATATGATGCATGTCAGTTCTACTGTCTAAAGACATTGAGAGGCTAAACAGATAATTATTAAAAATATTGTTGGAAACTTCTACAAAAAGATAGAAGGAGAAACAGCGCAGTGCATTTCTATTGTATCTCAGGAAAACAGGAGCCCCACTCAAAATCAAACCCCCTACTATCCTTCCTTAACCCAATTGGAATGTTTTTGTTTTTGCTTAACAGTTCTGATTCAGGTAGTCTGAACTATGACCTTTTCTGGAAGATACCTGTTCAGTTAGTAATGATTTGTACCAACATAAAGTTGGATTTATCTTTAGGGGATGGGGTTTGTGCATTATGTGCACATTGGTCACAACTATCCACTTATTCCCTATTTTTATTGTCAATATAAAGTGGAAGAATAATTTGTCATATCATGGAATCATAAAACTTTATATTGCAGGGCACCATTTACGTCTCTCTGAAGAGCTATCCAACTAGTCTTATCCCCTGCTCTCTCTCCCAATATCGCCACAATTTGCCCATTGAGATATTTATCCAACTGTTCTGCTTTTGCTGTCCTTTCAGACAGCTCATCCAAATCATGATGCCTTGCTGCGTTTAAAAAAAAAATCACCTCACCCCTCTGGAAAAATATTTCATTTTCAAAAAATAAATTTTAATAATTTGTATTGTTGAAGGCACAATAGTGGCCATTGCCATTCTCTTACCTGGATTGATGAATTATATGGCTTGCAGTTCATGACCCAGAGAATTCTTGAGTCTGTATGAATAAAGCACAAATAATAACTATATCACAATAATAATAAAATGTAAATAAAATATATTGTTAAACTTTAATAAGGAGACCATAATGAATAAAGGCCAGGTGAAGACCAACAATTTATCAGAAGTGGTTTAGTCACATAACATCGAGGGGAAAGCTAAACACATGTCTTTACATTTTCCCACAGCAAGCTGTATTGTGGTTTATGAATTATCAGTCATCTACTGTAGTTGTTTCCAAATTATTTGAATAGCTGTGCTAATAATGTAAGTGTTCCAATAATTTGCAGCACTAAGGGATTCTTGATACATTGAGCATGAGAATAATGTAATCAGCAAAATTCTAATCCAGCACTGTAAAAACAGTGGTTTTTATAAACGTCTAATATCTTCCAAAAAAGACGAAAGGGTGGGACCATTAAATCCAGCAAAACTTGGATATCAAGGGATATACAGGTTTGGTTAAAGAAAGAAAAGCAGGCTTATAGCAGGTCAAAACACCAGAAGCCTTCGAGGAATATAGAATGTGCAGGAGAAAACTTAAAAAGGAAATTAGGAGAGCAGAAAAAAGGGCATGAAAGATGGCAGGTAAAATAAAGGAAAATCCCAAGTTATTTTACAAGTACATTCAAGGTAAAAGCATAACTAGGGAAAGAGTAGGGCCCATAAAGGACCATGGTAGCAATGCGTATGTGAGACCAGAGGATGTAGGTAGGGCTCTAAATGAATACTTAGTGTCACTAATGAGAAGGATGATGTGGGTGTAGAAACCAGGCAAAAATATTGTGATATACTTATAGAGATTAGTATAGACAGAGAGGAGGTTCTGAGTGGTCTGGTAGGCTTAAAAGTAAATAAGTCTCCAGGGCCAGATGAAATGAATCCCAGGTTGTTGAGTGAGGCAAGGAAGGAAATAACACGGATGCTGACAATAATTTTCAATTCCTCCCTGGCCACAGGAGAGGTGCCAGAGGACCGGAGGATAGCCAATGTGGTACCAGCATTCAAAAAGGGAGCAAGAGATAAAGTAGGAAACCATAGGCCAGTCAGTCTAACCTTAGTGTAGGGAAACTATTGGAAGCAATTCTGAGGGATAGAATTAATCTGAATTTGGAGAGGCAGGGATTAATCAAGAACAGTCAGAATGATTTTGTTAAGAGGAAGTCATGTCTCACCAACTTGATTTAATTTTTCGAAGAGGTGACCAGATGTGTAGTTGAGGGTAATACATTCTATGTAGTCTACTTGGAACTCAGCAAGGCTTTTGATAAAGTCCCACATGGGAGTCTGACAGTGAATGTAAGAGCACATGGGATCCAAGAAAATTTGGCAGGAGGCAGAGGATGACGGTCAAGGGGCGTTTTTGTGACTGGAGACCTGTGTCCAATGTGGTTCCATGGGGATTAAGCTTGGGCACTTGCTGTTTGTGGTTTATATAAACAATTTAGGAATGTAGGAGGATTGATCAGAGTTTGCAGATGATATGAAAATTTGTAGGGAGGTAAATGGTGAGGAGGATAGCCTGAAATCATAGGAAGACATAGACTGGCTGGTCAGATGGGCTGATCAGTAGCAAATGAAATTCAATACAGATAAGTGTGAGGTGATGCACCTTGGCAGGACAAACAGGGCAAGGGAATATGTGATGAGTGGTAGGACGCTGAGAAGCACCAAGGATCAGTGGGATCTTGTGCATATCCAAGGTAGAGAGAGACCGGTGGATAAATTGATTAAAGCATATGGGATACTTGCCTTGATTAGCTGAGGTGCGGAGTTTAAGAGCAGGGAGGTTATGCTGGAACCATATAAAATGTTGGTTAGACCATAGCGAGAGTTCTGGAACTCACATTATAGGAGAGACGTGACTGCAGAGGAGCAGGTGCAGAGATTTAGCAGGATGTTGCCTGGGCTGCAGATTTTTACTTATGAAGAGAGATTGGACAGACTGGGTTGTTTTCCTTGGAGCAGAGGAGGCTGAGGATGCATAAAATTATCAGGACCATAGATAGGATAGATAAAAAGGAACTTTTCCCCAGGTAGAACAATCATTGACTAGGTGGCACAAATTTAAGGGGCAGGACAATTAGGGGCAGGACATTTAGAGAGAAGTTTTTTTTCACTCAGAGGGTGATAGGAATCTTGAAGTCACTGCCTATAAGGGTGGTACAGCAGAAATCCTCACAACATTAAGAAGTATTTAGCGGTATGCTTACAATGACAAGGGTTACAAGGCTATGGGTCAAGTGCTGGAAGATGGGATTAGAATAGTTAAATCATTGTTTTTGACCAGTGTAGATTCAATGGGCCAAAGGGCCCTTTCCTGTACTGTAGAACTCTATGACTATCTGTAGGCACAGTAGCATGTCATCAATGGTACCGAAGTTGTTGAGAATCAGGAAACCTTTGGTAAGAAACAAAAACAGAAGTTGCTGGGGAAACTCCAGATCTGTTTCCGAAGAATGGTCACTGGACTTGATGCTGCCAGACCTGCTGAGTTTCCCCAGCAATTTCTGCTTATGTTTCAGATTTCTAGCATCAGTATTCTTTGTTTTATTTTAACCTCTAGTAAGATATGGCTGATAAATTATCATAACTAAGGGCTGCAGGTGCTATTATTAGTATTTAAAGGTACGAGGTAGATAGCCTAATAGACAACTAAGTTATAGGGACTGTCAATTAGTTCAACTTAAACTACTTCAAAGGAAAACTTACCCAATCCCTTATTTAAGAAATGTTCCACCTAATCTAAAAGTTGGAACATCCGAGAAACAACACAGGATTTTCACCCCTTTCAGCAATAAGGCCGTATTGTTTCAAATACTCAGAATGTGAAAAGCAACATCCCTGACAGTGTCAATAGGACCAAACAGCTCTGGAATAAGAAGCCTGAAGGGATATATTCTAATGAACAGGTCCTCCAAGAAATAATTCTTGGATTCAATGGAAAATATTCAAGAAATCCAAAATTAAAAATTATCATCTCATCGCTAGTGAAATATTTTGTCTTCAGTATTTAAGGTAGAAAATGTTTAATGATTTGGATGATGAATCCTTTCAACCAACAGAACTTCAACGTCAGTATGCAATATTTTGTGGAGTAAATTGCAAGCAAATAGATGAACGTGCACATCTAAAAAGTTGGCACTTTTTTTCTAAAATATATAACTGTTTAATGCATGATCATTAACCAAGAAATCCGAATCTGTCTCATCTATAATCTTTTGTTTCTTAACCAACTAAGAAACCCCACAAAATACAAACAGTGCACAATATCCTGAGGTAAACCAATTATAAGATGACCAATACCTTGAAACTTTACACTACCACTGCTTTCCCAGGAACAGAAAGAGATATCTGCTAAATCTCATAACTAACAGTACACTGACACAAGTAAAAATATGGCAATTGTCTTGTTTCAGGGAAAATGCTGGATCAGTTTTCACAAAGAAATCCAACAGCAGCACGAAAGAGCTCAACACTTTTTTCATGCAATGGATTTCCTCAAAAAGCAGTTCAGCAGTTTATAAATGCCATTAAACTTAATCCTTCATGGACTGAAATGGCTACCATTGCCTTGACTAGGATGCAGCTGAAGTCTGTGAGCATAGCTACAGAATTATGCACATCTGCTGTCCTCGCAGCAGACCTAACAAAATATTTTAATTCTATGTTGTCAACATTATTTATTCTGTGGATGTATCATTGGAGGTTTTCAGAGCCAGTGTAATCAATCTTAAAACAGCCATGAGCAGAAGCTTAAAAAGAATATAATGAGATCACCAGCAGGATCATTGAAGAAATGGATTTCAAGTATGAAAACAAAGGTTTCAAAGGTCAGTGGATTCTTGCAGGACAGCCCTGTAAAAATCTCCAAGAGCATTGCAGTTTGTTGCCTTGTGCATAGCTTCATCATCTAAAGGGACATTGCCATTTACACATAAAAGATTATGCCTTAACCAGTGGCAGAATGAAAAAAATTACATTGAAAAAAAACACATTGAACTCGACCCCATATACATTCCACTACGGAGGGAACCCAAAGTGAGGCAATCCATCGCAACAGACCCCAGAGTTTAAAAACCAGGCGGGAAAACACACCGACGCTTGATCAGAGGCTGCACTGAGGATGTTACCAAGCATGGTAACGAAACGTCTGCGGAACAACAAACCAGCTTGGCGAGCCAGCCAACCTCAACATTCTTTTCATAGTCATGGCATCTATTTTCCCAAACTATGCTTACACATATATAGTGGAACATATGCCACACAGATTTTCCTCTCCACTGTACATTTTTGCAATACAAATGCTGGGATGGATCATGGTCTTTGTTCACCAAATCTTACAAGAGTTCCTGCCTACAACATGTAGAGGTGGAAATCTGGTCCATTAGTGCTGGGAATAGCATGAAGAGGAGGGAATGACCTTCCTTTACATTGGCCACTGGACAGCTGAAGACAGGTCAGACCCTTCCTTCATACTAATGTGTCAGCAAAACACCGACAGATGGTTGTGAGCTCATGCAATCTACAGGTGATTTACCAGAAGATTTGTTTTTAGGCATTTAGTTTTGCACATGTTCTTGGATTTCCGAGTTGATGGTAATTCTTCTTTCTAGTCAAATACAATATTTTCTTCAGTGGGTTAGATACTTAAAAATATGAAAGTAAAGATAATTGTACAGACTACAATAAGTCAGAATGAATATTCCTGTTCATGTGGGAACTCCTTTGTACATATTTTATCTTTTGGAAACCACAAGAAGTAGTCCTTGCTGCTTGAGTTTGGGCTCTGAAGTTCTGAGCTTGAAGAAAGACTGAGGCTTTAAACATCAAAAGTTGCACAGTGTTCTGCAAAGAGTTGCAGCAAACCAGGGAAAGGCAGACAGCGTGGGATCTTCTGGAAGTGTAACAGTCTCAAACCAGCTTTCAGTGCTGTTATGATCCCAAAAAATGATAATACTGGCAAGTCGGATCCAGAATGAAACCTGGCTTGATAGA